GAATAATTAACATCAGGGTCAACGTAGGCTATGTATGTCAAACCGTAAAAGTACACCATATTGAGCACGATAATAAAATAAAAATGTTTGCCGCTTAACACATAATTCAATAACAGATTCTTACGGATACAGTATTTGCGATAATAAACATTATTTAATCCATAGGTCTTATTATGTTGAATGTCGTGGAAATAGTCAACAATACTAAACCTGTGACTATACTGAAGGTAGTAAATTAAATTGCTTAAGCAAATATTCATAACCAGTATGGCTGAACCTAGCATGAACGAGTTGAGTCGCTTATTGCCCATTAGGTAATGAGGGTCGGCCATGAGTACCCGCATGTCCGGCGTGTTGACTACGGCTGACATAATAAAACGCATGGACACAAGTAGACTGACTAACATGTAGAAATATACTTTAAATAAGTTAGCACGTGATGGTTGATTACCATTAAGATAATCATGGTAAGAATTATAAATAAGTATTTTATGGCCTACCATAAAACGTTCTAGTTTTGTAAAACTAATTACACTATCTACATAATTATTAATGATGTAGTGTACCCTGTTTTGTACATTACGAGCGTATATATTACTTCGTAAATTAAACATAGTGATTTATTAAATGTAGTTAGAAATACGTTGTAAATTGCAATATATCACTAGTTTATTACATAAAAATTAAATATAAATATATAGTAGTAAGTAATTATTCTTATAGAATCACTACAATGACTATAAACTTAATTTCTGTTATTTATAAATAATACAGACGTTGAAAAAATAGATTTTTAAAAAATACATGAATCTAGTTTTATAATATTTCATAATGTCAATTAATGTTTAATGTAAAATTTTTATTATCATAATCAGTGAATAACCAAGTGTGTAGGAACAATTTTTAATTGATCGTGCTTATTTGATTGAATTTAATGAGTAATAATAATATTATGGACACTATACATGAATAGCCTTGATTCGTGCATAAATAATGTGCTTAGTTTCCAAACCTTGTTCAAATAATATGCACATAAGAAATCTTCTGTACAGTATATCAACTTCATTATATTAATAATTGTTTGATAGCATTTAAGTAATTAACAATAGTTTTTAAGTTATTTTGGTATATTATATTTATGTATAATTAATGATCTATATGTTGATCAATAAGTTTAAAAAAACATTTTTTATAATTAATGATTTGCAATTAAATATAAAGCTAAATATTCAAAATTTAATTTACTTATAACATGCAATTACTACGATTTATTTTAAAAGCAAATAAACAACAACATGCAACATTTTACATATACAGTTTTCACATTGAACAATCGATGGTATGAACATTTCTTGTTGTAAATAGTAACTTATAATAATCTATATTTACAGAATATAATAATAGTGGTAAAATACATTTATATTTATTAATTCACAGTATTTAAACTACATATAATTAAAATAATAATTACCAAACTTAATAATTATATTTAGTTTAATAAATTAAATAACAATGTTATACTTTGCGCGTCGAGTACAGCATCTAAACCAACTAACCCTAACACGTATCTACTCTAAATCAATTGATCATGAGCTAACATTTGTTAACCTGGAAACATTTATGGCAAAGCATTTAATTATGGCTTCTGAATCATTTGAGGCTTACATCCATGGTCAATTACCGCCATTAAAACAGGTGGTAAAAATCTACCTATACCGATTTATATCGTTAATTGTGGCCGTGAGATTTTTGACATCTAGCGTGTTTGATCGGCCAGATATTACTCAGTTTATGGCCGATCCTAACTATCTGCTAGGTCATAAGCGGTTAAATTCATTTTTACTTTGCACCGGGGTAATCATTGTAAATGTGTCCATAGGTGGACTATCAATGATTATGGAGCATGCCCACAAGTTTAATGTTATACCGTTTTTCTATAACATTGTACATAAACGTACATGTAATACTTATGATCTAGATGCTAAACATTACCGTAAATATTGTATGCATAAGAATTTATTGCTTAATTATTTGTTCACTGGATTTTTGTATTACCCGCTGGTTATATTAAATTGCGTTTATTTTGTGGGGCTTACATTTATTGCCTATTTTGATCCAGCTGTAAATTTCTCTATAATTAACATTATATTCTGGGATTTATGTACATGTTTATGGGTGATAGACTTTTTCGGTATAGTACAAATTAATTGAAATCTAATATTAACTGTATAAATTAAAACATAATTTTATAAATCACCTAGGAATAATATTTGGCTGTTTTGCATTCGCCTACCTATCAATATTATATATTAAAACGCAATTTCAACAGTTAGATGCTGAAATAATAGCCAATATTGTCAATCATAACATACTTGGCTTGATTAAATGCATACATTTTCATCAAGATATTGCCGTAACAGTAAATAAATTAAACATCACAATAAAATACTTTTTATTTATCGTATACTATTATATAAAACCATCACTCAATGGCTTATTGTATATGGCCAGTGATCAGAATAACAGCCCATTTGTTACTGTAGTGTTTTTAGCCCTGTTTATTTTTGCTGTGAGCTTGTTATTTACAGTTAATACAATGTTTAGCTCAATGAATTCTATAGCCCATAATAGCTATAGGTATATATTTAAAACATTTCAACTTAAACATTGTAATAATAATAATAATAATCTTCACTGTAGTCGTTATATATCAATGAGTTTATATGCACATGCTAAATTGCTAAGATTTACCGAGCGCTTGTCCGGTCCGGCAATTGGTTTCTATTGTCTCGATATGTTTGCTATAAGAAACTACGAGTTTAGCGATTATATACTGAGCTGGATCACTAATTATATTCTCATCATGGGTGTTTACAATAGTGTCGTTGTATAAAAAAATAATGGCTTTGTACAATTACAATTCAACTCAAATTTAAACAAATAATTACATCTATAATTTCAGCTACCTATATTAATTAATGTTAGCACTGATTTGGTTGTAACCTAACTTGTTTAATTAACAATTTTGATTTAATTGAAAGTTAGAGATACTCAATATAAAATATATCAATTTGGCTTAATTTGTATCAAAAATGTATAAACCTGTGCCTTGTTTGATACAAATTATGCCAAATTAATATATTTTAAATTGGCTATACGACCAAGATAATTAATTAATTAATTAATGATTTTACCTTGTTCGTATTCATGATTTAATTTGCGTCATCAATGGTTACACTTCATATTGTATAAAACACCACGGGCCAAGTTCTTGTACTGTTGTTCTTTTATAAGTATCTTATTTAAAAAACATCTCAATTATGCATAATTTCAAAATTTATGTGACCTGTTTAAATAAAAAATTAATTATATGAATTACTTTATGTTTTCTATAATAGTCAATCAAAAAATTGAAAAACATTGTAAAAACATTTACTTATTAGTGGCGGTTAAATACCAACTTAATGTTACTAGTAACTTTGGTATTAGTGGAATTATGCCCTAAACTATTCTAGTTATTTATGTAAACAATATTTACTATAACAATGCAATGAGTAAAATGACCCGGCATCAATTGGCAACTTTAGTAGTTCATATTTAAGGATATAAATTAACGAACTTGATGTACTATAGGTAAAAATTCTTGGTATGTCACAGGGATTTACAATAATTGGTTTTTGAATTTCAATTAAATTTTATATATTATCAAAAAAAGTTGCTTGATTACTTATCACACGGATATCAATTAATCCTGTTTAAGCAATAAGTTGTTAATTACTGCTTTATCTGTCGATTGTACTATCGGTCTCTATTGAACTCATAGGCTATTATGTTAGACAATATTTGATAAACTTTTCTGCTTTAATATAAATGCTTTCCAAGAAAATGAAGGTAAAAATAAAATAACATTACAAGTACATAAAATAACATAGTAAGTATATTATATGTCTTTGGCTAAGCATTTCAAAAAGTATATAAACTCAAATTTAATCATTATAAATCATAATTATTTTTAATATTTAATTATTAATATATAATTAATTAAAAATGATGAAGCTCAGTCTCGTAGTGTGTTCGCTGTTGGTATGTTTGGGACAAATACAGTCGGCGCCCAAACTTATTTGCTATTATGAAAACTGGTGTAAGTAATTGTTCACATGTATTATATTATGTTTTAAATTGTATAATACTTTATTAAATATTATAAAATTAAATTTAATTTATGTCAGATAAATAACAAAATTTTTAAATTAAATTAAATAATTTTTTATTTTGTAAATTAATTACAACTCAATTAATTGTTTCTAAATTTATTTTATTTAGTCTCGTATCCATCACATGGAGCAGGGCAGATGTTTCCAAAGGATATTGGTAAGTTTTAAAAATTGAAATCGTAGTGTAAATTACTTATAAAATATACCATGCACAGTCAAATAATTTACCATAATCTTATTAGATAATACTTTGTGCACCCATCGTGTCTACGGTTATAACAGTGTACTGCCATCGGCTGAAATTAATAACACTGACCCAAATCTCGAGACCAGCACCCAATACCGTAATTTAAATATATTTATTAATACACCAAGCCAATTTTAAATATAAATTATTATATTATTCGTTCCCAGATCAATTATACGACTGGGGTCACCTCAAAGGAGAAGATAAATCGCTGATCGCGATTGGTGGTTTCACATTTGCCCAATATTTACCTTACGCCACTGCTAATCCGACCTTGTTCACCACTAACATGGTCAATTTTCTGAAAAAATATAACCTCGATGGTGTTGTACTTGAATGGTCATCAGTCGCCTGGAAATACGAGTACATGGAGTCGTATGTGATCTTGTTGAAACATTTGAAAGAGGCATTTACGCAAGATCACTATATTCTGGCTAGTATTATTGCTGCCGATCAGCCAGGCTATGATATCAAGTCGGTCGCCGAGTGAGTAACATTTTAATCGAGTTTAATTAAAATATTATTTATTTTATTAAATTATGCTAGTGTATTTAACTATTACAAATAATTGTATATCAATTTATTTATGCAATCAATTTATTTATGCAATCAATTTATTGTATTAGCCAAGTTGACTTTGTCATTATCCAATCGTTTGATTATCACGGCTCATGGAATAATGACGTTGGTCACGCATCGGCCCTAGCGGATCAGGTACATTTTATGAAATAAATTTAAATAATTAGAAAATCATAGTAGAGTAGTAAACAATTTTTATTAAAAATAGTTATACAGTAAATATAAAATTTTGTTTGTATTGTGTGATGGATAGTTTATTCCAACAAAAACATCCAAATAATTAAGTTGATATCAAATAATTAATAATACCATAATGGTTAATTTTTTGCCATAGAAAATAAGTGTTAACCGATGGGTTGAGAATGGATTGCCCGTTGATAAAACCATTGTAAGTTTGATCATCTTGACTATATGATTATCATTAACATTTTACTCTAATCACCAAGGTCACTGTACCCGCGTACGGCCACACCTGGACCCTATCGGATCCCACCAAGACTGATGTGGGCGCATCGGCTTCAGGACCCGGCACTAAGGGACCGTTTACCGATTTCCCCGGTAAATTAGGTGTCAATGAGGTCAGTATTACATATATATATAATTCAATTACGTCACCTAGATAAGTTTTATTTATACAAAATAAAGATAATCTTATACAATAAGTAAATAATTAAATATCCAAATCAAAGTCAATATATTAAACAGTGAACAGATTTTATTAACCAGCTTGAAATAATTAATTAAAAATTTAATGACCATGATAGATGATGTTGCGTTTGAAAGACGATCCGAGCTGGTCCCGAAAAGAGGACATACCCGCCGGCGCCGCTTACTATGTAAAGGGAGACCAATGGGTGTCCATTGAGGACGAAAAGACCGCTGAGGTTAAGGGCAATTGGGTTAAGAGCGCCGGTTTGGCCGGTATTGCCGTTCAGGCCGTCAATAACGACGACTTTAACGCTTTGGGATCGACCATTAAATTCCCACTTCTCAGAGCATTGATTAAAGGCTTTCAATAAATTGTCTTAGAACATATTGTTATGGATTACTATGGCTATCAATATGTTTTATAATTAGTTAATTATTTTTGATTAATAAAATCGTTATTTTCCGTTTTTAAAATTTTGTTCAATTAATTGTGTTTAAAAATCATTGAAAGCATTAATTATTATATACTTTTACGGTTTATTTTTTGTCATGATCAATTTTTAGTTGACATTTTTATAATTTATGAAATACAATTAATTATAAAGTAAATACAGTTACAACTTTTAATTAACTTATAACATGCAATTTCCACGATTTATTTCAAAAGCAAATAAAAACAAAAGAATATTTTTTATAATGAAATATACAGTTAATCGTCAATTGTATTAACACAACGGTATTTGGTTGGTATCTGTTTATAACGTCAATCACTTTATACCAGATTATATAATAAAATAATTTTTAAACCCATTATTCATTTAAAATTACATACAAATGTATAATTAACAATTTCTAGACTATATTTTTAACCTTAATTTTGATAAGAATAATGTGGTTTATAGGATATCGACCATAAATACAACTGTTATTATTTTAACAGTAATAACTTACCAGTCACATAAGGAAATATTTTAATATGACAATTATTTGCTTTAATTAATTGACGCTTGGCATGACATGTTTACCGTTATTTATTCAAATTTTTAATAAAAAATTACAAACTATTATATTATAATAAACTTAAAAATAAATGTTTAACATAAATTATTATATTTTTAAATATTTATTGTAATATCAATGTTAAAATTATATACCTACAAAAGTTATAGGTGATTGCAAAATGATTTCTATTTGTTTATAATATATTATTTACAAACAATTAATTATATTAAAACAATCTATATAATAATGGAATATTTAGCGCGTCGTGTAAAATTCCCAAACTTTAAACCAGCTTTAAATCATATATATTCTAAATTAATTGATCATGAGCTAACATTTGCTAACCTGGAGACATTTACGAGAATGCATTTAATAATAGCCTCTGAATCATTTGAGGCCTATATCCAGGGCCGGCCGCGGCCAATAAAACGCTTGGTAAAAATCTACCTATATCGATTTATATCATTAATTGTGGCCGTGAGATTTTTGACATCTAGCGTATTTAATCGGCCAGATATTACACAGTTTATGGCCGATCCTAACTATCTACTAAGTCATAAGCGATTAAATTCATTTTTACTTTGCACCGGGGTAATCATTGTAAATGTGTTTATTGGGGGACTAGAAATGATCATGGAGCATGCCCACATGTTTAATCTTATACCGTTTTTTATGATATCGTACATAAACGTACGAATAATACTTATTATTTACACGCAACATATTATCGCAAATATTGCATGCATAAAAATATGTTGCTAAATTATTTGTTAACTGGATTTCTCTATTATCCAATGGTTATATCAAATTGCGTTTATTTTGTGGGGCTTACACTTGTGGCATATTTTGATTCAGCTGTTAATTTTTCTATAATTAACATTATATTCTGGAATATATGTACATGTTTATGGGTGATAGACTTTTTCGGTATAGTACAAATTAATAAATTATATAATTTTAAAATTATTTTATAAATAACACAGGTATAATATTTGGTTCTTTTGCACTTGCTTATCTATCTGTATTATATATTAAACTGCAATTTCAACATCTGGATGCTGAAATAATGGTCAATATTGCTAATTATAACATACCTGGCTTAATTAAATGCACACATTTTCATCAAGCTATTGCCATATCAGTGAATAAATTAAACAACACGATGAAATACTTTTTATTTATCGTATACTATTGTATAAAACCATCACTCAATAGCGTATTGTATATTGCCCATGATCAGTCTAACAGCCGATTTGTTACGGTTGTGATGGGTGCTCTGTTTATTCTATCTTTGAGCATTCTATTTATAA